CCCACAAACAACTTAAATATGTTGAAATATGTTTGAATTACAGTGTCATCTATGTGTCGAGTGACATGATATTTAAAAAACAACAATTGAGAATGAGGGACATTTTTACATGAAAGACCATTTCTCAAGGACATTTTCGCCGTGGACATTTATTCTGAAAGACATTTTTTCAAGGACGAAATCTGGAGGATATATTTTATAAGGACGAAAATTCGGGGACATTTCGTCAAGGACATTTTCTAAAGGACATTCTAGCATGTATTCGAAAGAATTACAATAGAACACAAATATGAGTAGCTTTTGATAAGGTTTTTATCTATTTATGGAAATGAAGACCTTCGAGATGAAAATTGTTGATTAAAATTATAAATTATGCAGTATTAGAAAAAAGCAGAAAAATCTTCAAAAAGAAGAAATGACAGAAAAAACTTCATAAAGCAGAATTTTTCTGCTAAAAGCAGAAGAGGTGGCAACTCTGATCAGATATGTATGTGACAATGAAACTTAGATTTTTAAGAAGAATCAATGAATTGATACGACAAGCGAAAAATTCTAGGAGAAACATACCATAGATAAAATGACGTCAATTGTTTGGTATATTTTATCAAAAGAAAATATTAAACAGCAACACTATTGAGGTACTTCTAAAATTTATTCATTGTTGAGACTATTTTTTTTTCTCATTCTTTAATAGTCGTCTGTCGTAGATAAAAAATAATTTATTGCTACAAAAGTTAATAGAACAGCTAAGTTTTTTATTTGATTATTGTAATCTTTATGATTTACGCATATTTATCATCTAGTTGTTCTTTTAAGATTTATACTAAAAACACAATATATTCTCACCATTATATTCTTTTTATGGTATAAGAGTTAAAAACTTAAAGTTGCTTCGCGTAAGTTTCAATCGACGACGAACTCAGTAAAATAACACGCTCTAAAATGAAATCATTAATGAAACTAAGCTATTTAACATTTTTTTTCAACTGATTTATTAAGATCAATCAGTGTGACGTTTCGTTCTAACTAAGAACATTATCAAATACAAATAAATAGACAGAAGAAGAATATATATAAGAGTAAAATAATATCTTCGTTTTGCTATTCTATTGTTTTAAACATTCTAATGCAGACGGATCAATTTTACTCCCCCGTGCATTGAAATGCTTAAAACAATAGAATAAAAACGATGACATTATTTTACTCTTATATATATTCTTCTTCTGTCTATTTATTTGTGTTTGATAATGTTCCTAGTTAAAACAAAACGTCACACTGATTGATCTTAATAAATCAGTTGAAAAAAATGTTAAATAGCTTAGTTTCACTGATGATTTTATTATGGAATGTTGTGCCACCAAATGACAAATAAGTTCTATATTATATATTTTTTCTACGAATATTGTATTTCTCATTTGTCGACATTATTATTTTTATTAATTGGAAACTCGTAAGCAAATACTTTAATCCAACAATAAAATGGCTTGAATTTACGAGGTTTTTCATATTTATTGACAACCTGAATTGTATCAAACGAATTTCGTTGTGTTATCTCGATCTTGAAGATCTTCTTCCAACCAACGGTTGCTTATAGACAGTCCTTTGAATAAATGTTCAACTTTTAGCCGATGGTCAACTCATACTCTACAATGATTGAACATTGTCGCCAATATTGTGTCATTTATCGAAGGCACAAATTTCAATCATCTATTTACCTTATTTTAGATTTCATTTGATTCAAATCAGCATGGATATTTATGATAACAATGAGAAACATATAAAAATAATCTGGTTACGAAGATTTGCTAGCTTCATAGATTCATATTTTTTGTGAATCTCCATCAAGTGTAATGAACTTTCGGAAGACCTTATGAAGAGTTGTTAAAGTTTGGTGAAGCCACTGGTTGTCTAATAGAATCTCAATTTAATGTTTTTTTTTGAATTTTTCATTCAAAAGCTAGTAAGAAATAAGCTTAGATAGCAGGTTTTTAATGGTCGAGAAGTTGGAGACAGATTAAAGCGAAGCGTTTCACTGATTTAAATGAAGAAGTAGACTATTCTTTGATTTTAAGCAGAAAACTTAGTACAACAACGAATTAGCATCGAAAAAGTTATCAAAATTACAGTATAATAACGACAGATAATAGTCATATGACTTCTTTGCTGTGTGGATATGGATGATATATTATTCAATTATTACTTATGATAGAAGCAAATGTCTGTCATTATAAATGAGTTCTAATTATAATTATTTTCTTCAGAATCGAAATTAATTAATATACATTAAGATAGATCCAAAATGAAGTTAGTTTACAATAAGTTATTTTACATGTATTATTCACTTCTTTTGCTATAAGTTACTCGACAACCTGTAGAGAAGTAAATGTGAAGATATGGAGAAATTGATATTGGTTTCTCTTTAAAAAACCGTAGTCGATGCACAAATAAAGTTAATTGGTTTCAAGCTTGTAGCAATTTAATCATGCTTACTACTCAACATATTGATCTCAGTAAAATCAAAGTTGAAAGCAAACAATTGTGAACTAAAATATTTCATCAGTGAATACTCATATAATAAATATCGAGACACTACTGACTCCTTTTTTTCGAAGTGTTGTATCTTGGTGTATTGCATCAAACCGAGTAGATATTCTTGAAGTTTATTAAAATTGACACAAGTAAGTCGTTTTCAATGCACTCTCATAATATTGATGCTTTCGAGCTGTCTCTTCTAGCCACGGAATCTAAATCAGCTCTAGTAATGAGATAAATTTTTTTTAGTAAAATATATTCTGAAATTGTGTTCTTCTCGGTTAATTTGAATTCTTTCTGAAAAAAGAATTTTAGTTTGTGTGGGAATATATTCTGCAACCGTTTATAGCTAGAAACCGAAAGTCTTAAGTGCCTCCACCTCGGTTGTTATGAGTCTCACAGTATACAAGCGGTAGTGCGAATAAACTTGTCATATGGTTGTATAGATTAGTTTTCGTTGTTTCTATGATGGGAAACTAAAACATCTTTATGATGAACAAATTGTCGTAAATGGTGGTTGGATGAATCAATCCATACACTATATTGACCAAATGAAACATAAGAAAAATCCTTACTTTTCAATCTATAGTGCATGATCATGTGCTATAGATTGATTTCAATCATTTCAATTGTTTCTTACAGAATATCTCAAGTTGATTATCATTCTTATAGACGATAAAGTCTCAGATTGATTCATTTCTATTCAGGAACATTGGTTACACTAAACATGGAATGTGCTAATAGTTACATAATAATATACTAAATAATTGTTTGTCAATATCATATTAGGATTTTAACATGTTTATCATGATACGCGTAAAGATGAAACATGATCAAAAAGATATTTGATCTACGTTTATTAGAACATCACAAAAAAGAAAAAACTAGAAATTGTATTTAAATACTTATATATTGATTTTCAAGAAAATTGTTTTTGGTTGTTAAACTTGATAAATTCAATTGATTTTGTTTCATAGTATTCAATGTTTCAGATCATTTTCGATAGGAATAAAATTCTTTGGGATTTATTTGATTATAGTTTTATTTGAAAATAGAAGAATGTTGAGAGTTAGTTTTATACTTTGAAGTTTATTAAAAACAGAAACTATTTGTTATTTTGATTGAAATCTCTTTTTAAAGTTGTCTTACATCATTTACATTTATATTATCAATTATTAACTGAAAATGGATTTAATCCAGTATTCATAAAATCAATAAATATTCGAATGAAAAATACACCATCTTTGAGATAAATACTGTGTATATCTTTGAGATATTTCAATGAACAAAATTTAGTTATACCAACTTCATCATTTTTCTCGCCTGTTGGACAAATAAATGATAATAACTTTGCATTAGGTTTAATTATTGATACAATATGTTGTCCTTGGTTTGATTGATCACATAAACATAGATATATGTTATAAGGGAATGGATATAAAAGGATTGGATCAAACTCTCCACGAAGTAATGTTATGTAAATTGATAAATATTCCTGATTTTCATTTTCAGATATGATAGTTGAGCAGACACGAAGCATAAAACAATATCCAAATGATGATGTTATAAATTTTGGTGAGCATATTGAAAATGGGACATTCATTTCGGTAGAATGTGCGTTAAAACAAAATCTAATCGTACTGTTACTATCCAGCGATAATATAATACTCTTTGATAAGGCAACCATTAAATCACAAATCGCTTTTCTTTGGTCAATATCCAAGGTTACTTGCTTCGAGCCATTCGATAAAGTTTTTACTTCTGATAGAAGAGTATTGATATTTTCTTGAATAGTAGTCAATTCTTGTTCTATATTATTAACAACGTTAAATGTAGTTGTCGAGCAAGTGACATTATTAGTTGAATATTTTTCCAAAAAAAAGTATTGAGTAATAACTTCAAGTAATATTTTCTGATGTGTTTCACATAAGCAGTACTTTCCTATGTCAGACCATTTTATCTGATGACTAAGAAAAAATCTTTCGAAATTACTCAACAAGACCATAGGATATACGTGCTCGATACAACCAGGTAATCCACATTGTATTGATCGATATTCACAAATCTCTTGTAGATGTTCTTCATATAGATTTGTTGAGAAAAAATGTTTATGACAATTACTACATTCTAAATATGCATGTATTTGTCCGAGATGTTCCTAAAATTTTTCAAATCTCATTTCGCAATTGTCAAAAACGAAGTAAGATACTTTATAATCATTATATAATCCATTCCAAGAACATGAATAACAGTCAATTCTAATCATATTTAATTCTCGTTCAGCTCTTTGGTCAGCAACTGCCTATTTAACAATGAAATCTGTTTTCCAACAAAGGAATAATAAATTACTATACCTGCTTCTTTGTTTGTTTCGTATGACAAAATAAGCAAATAAATGGTTCACTATTTATAAACGTATTCTTTAGCATGAAAAATATTCAAATTTTACTGAGAAATATTCACCTCTCTGGTAAACCTTTCGTTGAACACCATCGACATAAACGAGTACCACAACATAAGAGTTGCATAGGTTCAAGCAACAACAATTTGCATAATTCACAAAATAAATTATCATTAACATTGTCTCTGTTTTTTATCTTCAATCCTCCAAATGAATTATTTACTTCTTTTGATGTCGCCATCAATAATGTTATTCAAATAATAAATATATTTGGACAAAGAGATAATAATTATATATCAATCGAAAGCTAAACATATAACATGCATAAGTAAAGGTAAATATATAGCCGATCTCGATGGATGAATCATTATTTGTTTTTTCTTTCTGCTTTTCAGTAAGCTATCGCTGGATTTTTCCATCGCAATGATGGAGTAATAATAAAAACAATTTGTTGTACGAAAAAAAGGAGATAAAATCTGTGTAATTAATGGACGCACATACCTAACTAGTTATTTTCTTCGATGATTACCTGAGGTATTACGTAGTAAAAAATATAGTCGCATATGATATTTTTCTTAAGCTTTGCCATCTCATTCAAGGTAACCATTTTATTCTGTTTTCACCTGGTAAAAATTATTGCATATTAACATTAGCATTGGTTTTTATTTCATATAAAGGCAAGTTTATTTGATTTTAGAAAAGAATATTCAAACAAATGTATAATATACTGTACTTTTTCTCATGTTTTACAAGGATAAACATAACTTCATTATGACATGTTAATATATCGTTTGAATAATAGAGTCCACGCATATTGAAAGTATACCCTTCGAATTTTTTGTTTTTTATTAATATACGTTTTTTATCTATGAACCTACTATATATAGGAAGAAAGCCCGGAATGCGCTGCATCTTTTGGTATATTTACATTGACCATTAAATGCAGTTTAAAGTATAAAAAGTGTATCAGAAAAAAAAGTGACATTTTTTCTTTTTCCAAATTTCGCGTATCCGTACTGGTGTAATATTTATTATTTTGCATATATCTCGGCTTAGGTAAATGATAAAACGTTGAATTTTTTTCCAAAAGATGCGCAGTGAAAAGCTCTACAAAAGCTGCATGATTGAATTCTTTTTTTATCTGCTCTAGTGGTTTTTCTGATACTCACAATGAAACAACTTACATAGTAATATCACTTCCCATCATGTAGAAAGCATTTCGAGGACTTCTCTGATTCACTACAGGACTTGGTCTATACAAGTTTTGTAGAGCTTTCGACGGCACACCTTTTTCGCAAAAAAATTCCATATTCCGTCATTTTCTCCAGTCTGGATATATGGTGATCAAAAAGTCTTCCAACAGCTCCAGTATGATGGTAAGTGACGCTGGCATATAATTTGTTCATTTTGAATATCAGAAAAATCACTAGAACAGGTAAAAAAAGAATTCGATTATGCAGCTTTTGTAGAGCTTTCCACGGCACATCTTTTGGAAAAAAATTCAACGTTTTATCATTTACCTAAGCCGAGATATATGCGAAATAAAAAATGTTACAACATTATGAACACTATGGCAAAAAAGAAAAAAGTGACTTTTTCTTCTAATACACTTTTTATACTTTAAACTGCATTTGATAGTCAATGTAAATATACCAAAAGATGCAGCGCATTCCAGGCTTTCTTCCTATATATAGTAGGTTCATAGATAAAAAACGTATATTAATAAAAAACAAAAAATTCGAAGGGTATACTTTAAATATGCGTGGACTGTATAGGTGAGCTCGATATAACTTATTGTATCTAAATCAGTGAATAAATAACTGATTTACTTCTTTTTATAATGCGTAATTATTTTCAATTCATGGAACAAAATTCTTGAAAAATAATCATCAGTCAGGGTTAAGGCTGTCGCTTTAAATAACATGCATGAGACACTGTTGCTACACGATCCATTTTCAAATACAATATTCTTTGAGATATTCGCTTATTCATCCATAGATTTGTCGTTCCGTCTTAGATTATATTACTCTGTTTTACAACGAAAGAAATAGTTAAGAGTGATATCAAACGATACATTGTTTTTATATTCTTACAAACAGTTTATTTATTAAAGAAAATTGTTTAGAATATATAAAGGATGATCTTAAATTGAAGACAAATTGTAGTAAAAAGAACCTCTAGCAAAAAAATTAAAAAAAAACAGATAAAAGCCGAGATAAATATTTTCTTCATATTTGTTCGATTTTATGAATGGCTTTGATAAATTGAATAGAAACATAATTGATATTATAAACAGCATTAATCGATAGAAACCAATGAACAGACTATGAAAGCATACTGGTCAAGAAAATAATTCCTTATGCAATACAATATATTGAAAAGAAAATGTATTTATAATATACATGAACACCCACAAATAATAGTCAAGCAACAATACACATTTATTTAATCAATCATGACAAAAAATTGATTTTAACCAATTAAAACTGTGCCTATGAACATCTGCCAAGATCATTTCGATATACATGGTCATCTATGAAGATTTAATATTTGAAGAGATCTCTCTGTAAAAAGTAATATCCAACATATTTAACTTAATTCTAAACCCCTTTCAGAAAGAAACATGATCTAAGAACTATTTATCGGATTTCTATGTTATTAAATATACGGATCTTTAAATTAATCGAAAGACACTTTATATTGTAGAGCTCCTTGAGTTACATTTACAGTCAGAAAATTATAAATTCTTTATGAGATCCTTGCGGAGATATAGTTTGAATTGATTTGGTTAGGACTTAATCTTACTTAGATGTCATAAATTTGTGCAATCAATATCTCAGCAAGGATATTATATAGAATCATAATTTTTTAAGAGTAAATATAATTCATATAGATCTAACACATAAGGTTTCTTTTGGTCCATTTAAAGATTCGTCTATTTTTAATTCAGAAACTCGATGAATAGCACTTGGATTATATTCATTTGTAAAAGTCACTCAAAATCAGCGGCCTTTCATAAGCTTTTTTTGCATTAGTTCTATCTCAACTCATATTAATTTTACATTTTTACTAACCAAAAAAAATGCTTTAATTCTCAAAAAAATCAGTAATTTAAAACATATTAGTTGTGATAACGATGTTCATTAAAACAGCAAAAACTTTTAATTCAAAGAACTTCGTAATATTGTTTCTTAGTAATCATCACCTAAAATGAATAATATTTTTATAGAAATAAAAGCGGGAAACGCTAATTGAAATCTATTTGGGATTTTGAGTCGTTTTGTTTCATTATAGTATGATGAATGTTTGTAACTAAGGAACTGAAGCATCATAGAAATTCTTTATAATAGGCTGTTAATGATTAATTATTATGTCACGTTGTATTATTTGTCTAAAGAATTTTTAGTAATGAAGTCTTCTCTATTTCTTTACCACGAGCAAGAGATTCTTTTGCATACGAAGTTAATATTAATTAAACACAATAAAATGATATTTTCCTTGTCTGTTTTTTTAGAAGATATTCGTAGAACAATTTATATTTGACTAATGTAAGCTTGTAATAGTAAATGATCATAGGGTCAGTACATTTTTATGTTTGATTAGTATTTTATGTCAAACAAAGAATAAAAATACTTTTAGGAGTTTTTATTTTTGGATACTGTCGTCTTACATGTTTTTTAGTAATAAATAACGAGTTATTCTTACAGTTATGTGTTGCAATTAAACAAGACAAGTCAAGGAATTCTACAATTCAAACAAGTACAGGAATAACCGTGAAAGGAACATCAAATCATGCAGAGAATAACTAAGATTTTTCTTACAAGGGACAAAATGTTTTTCAGCAATTATTCAATACCTATCAATCATTATTTAGTATATAAAGCATAAAGTAAAACGATAAAAAATATAATACTAATCGAATTATTTAAGACGTAGATGAAATTCATTTGTTACAGAGGTATTTTATTAAATGAATCAGTTTATAACAAAAATAGTTGTACTACTTTTTTCTTTTCTTTTTTTTTGAACGATGTTGTGAAGTCAATATACAATGTAAATTAAAATTGGTATAAGAAGCTCGTTGTTCAAATAAGTTCTTTAATTCAAATTTCAATGGTGTGATGTTTTAGATTCCGTTCCTCTTTCAGTTATACATAGTTCCGAGAAAAAGTTTGGTTTTTTGAAAGAATATAATAATTCCAAAACTAAAAAATAATACAGCTATTTCCAGAAACACCTTGCACAAAAAGCAGAAATTTCTTCTGTAGTTTTTTCATGCTTTATGAAATAATTATAAGCCTCATTTTTTTGATAATTTTTCGTCGCCATCTATACAGCGAAATCACCTAATGAAAATGCGGTTGATCTAATCTTGGATTAGTGTGAGTGTATATGTGTGGGTGCATGACTGTGAGTGTGACTTTGTAGGTGTACGTATAGGTGTGAGGGTGTGAGCTGCAGTTGTGGGGGATGAGTGTGTCTGTGAGCGTGGGTTTGAGTATGGGTAGGGTGTGGGTATGGCTGAGAGTGGAAGTAGAGCAGAGGGTCTGTGTATCGGTGTGGGTGTGTCGGGGATGAGTATAGGTTCTGGGTATGGGGAATGGATGCGGGTGTGGTTGTGAGTGAACATGTAGATGTGAGTGTCAGAGGATAGAATGCCAACAGTCACACCGAGAAATAGAAGAGAAAAAAGGGAAACACATCGAAGACAATTATGTCTTACCTTGCAATGAAAACACCTTCTTTTGCCACTTGTGAATGAAGCTATGCATAAAGCGTTGTGTTGTTTTTATATTTTCTAGTACAGTTGGTTTTTTCCACCATACTCGGGCTACCAGATAGTTGGTTTTTTCCACCATACTCGAGCTACCAGGCAGCTGGTTTTTTCCACCAAGCACAATTGAAAAAAGAATACCATCATGGCTGATGGCGAAAAAGAACGCTGATTCATACAATTCGCTCGTTCTGTTAACATACCTGTTAAACGTATTGACACGAATGTCACTGATTAGATACACAATGTTAGTAAATACATTTTTAAAATGAAGACGTCCAAATTATGTACGATCTCAAGTCCAATCGATTGATTTTTGCTGGAAATGTCTCTCTCCAACATCAACACATCCTAGCTTTGATTAATAAACATTTCTTTTAGTCTCTCTTGTTATTGTAGCATCTAAACTGTGAATGCTCATATAATGCTTTTATTAAAGTTCTTTCTATCGTTTGTGATCTGTTTCGTATCAATTATGAGTATATACATTTGGTGCATAATTCCATTGCTCTATGTCTAAAGAAAAGAATGACATTATCACAGGAGTTTATTTTGCAAGAAAAGTTCAATAGATTACTGATTTAGAATCAGACTTAATTTATATTGATATTACTTTAAAAGCAGAAAGACACATAAAACTAGAGGATATTAAAAAATACTAAATTTTGTGTGTTAACTGAAAAATCTTTCAATTGAAGATATTTAGGCGAAAAAAATGATCAAGAGCATAAATAGCCAGTTGTTTTAAGTAGGACCTAGGATAAAAACAGATATTCTGGAATAGTTTCTTCGTTTCGCAGCAAATCATACGTCAACTCTCTAAGTTGAACATCTTTATATGTGAACGCTTTTTAATAGTTCTGATAGAGAGATTTTACTTTAAGCGCAGTCAACGATTTACAACTTAGCAAAAAATTATCTTGTTTATTATTTAGGAAAACTAAAATCTAATCAAAATAATTAATTTCACTACCTATTTGTTGAATAGAAGATAATTCAATGTAAAACCTATTCTGTTGTTTGTCTAAATTCAGTATATATTAATGGCAGGTGATGTATGCTAAGTTAACGTTGAGCGAATGCGTTTAAATATTTTACGATCAGTTTGAAATAAACATATTTATATTTCGCCAAGCGTAAGTAATTTTGTGAATAATGACAGCTGGAATATTAGAAATATTTGACGTAAGATACTTCATTTCGCTAGAATGAAAGAGAGATATGTTGTTATGTAGTAAAAAAATAGATTAAAAAAAGCAACTAACGAAGGAACTACATTACGTGACACCCGCCGTTTGAGCTCATATGAGACCAACAGATAGATATTAGTGAGAACAGCAAAAGACTAAAAGGATTCATTCCAATAGGCCTACAGCGCCGAGTTATAACTGGTCTACTAGATTTGTTTAAATCTATTTTTTGGTACTCCTCGGAAGACTGAAAAACGAAGCTTTGGTCCAAAGTTTCGTTTATTGTTATTTCTAGTGACTCTTAGAATATGCTGAAGGTTTCAGTCAAAAACAATGTTCCTTCGTCAAGTTATTGAATTTTCAAATGAATTCTATTTTTGTGACATATTTGTAGTAAAAAGCTGGTTTTGGAAATTCAATATTCTGACGAAGGAACATATTTGTTTTCGACTGAAACTTCTAGGATATTCTAAGAGCCATTAGACCCATCCAAAAACAAAATGTTATATTCAAATTCTTTTATTTAATGTTTTTGGGAACTATCCACAAAGGATTCGAAATTCTACTTAACCAATTAGAGCTCGGCAACAAAGATACATGGGGAAGAATACTTCTAGACTTTTGCTTATCTCACTGAGACCTGCCTGTGAATCATATATGAGCTTAAAGTGAAGATGCCAGTTAGGATAGTTGCTTCGCAAGGAAAAACTTCAATATTAACACTATATAAATTCCACATTGTTTTAATTTGTTTCAGTAACAACAAAACGATGTATCAATATATGGTTTTGGAAAATGATATCTTCTTATCTATCTATCATTTGAACATGCAAAAAATAGATCATTTTCTACAATTATTTGACGGTTCAATTTTATTCTAAGCTAAATAGCTGTGATAAACTACAAATTCGGCATAAGCAGCATGTATTAAATATTTTTCAATTTGAGATCATGTGGATTGACAAAAGTTACTTATTGTTTTGTTTTTATTGCAGTCATAGTTATTGTTGACATACATACACCGATTTTCTTTTGGGTGAAAGGTGTTCACGTCGAATCTATCTGTTTTAACAGTGTGAATGAAATGCAACAAACGAATCTAAGATTTCATTGAATTTGTCTCGTGAATGTATATTACAAAATAATGCTGTGTATTCATTTTCATTTTAGTAATAACAGGTTAAGAATCCATTTTGGTTTTAGTAGTTTATTTCTAAAAATAAAACAGCATATGCAATTCTTTTTCAATCATTGAGTTATTAGAGCATAACTAATTTGCAACCGGAGATCTTTCAAAAGTTTCTGAAAATAGATCTGATCAATTTCACAACAGATGTATGTTTTGTTCAACTATGTAATCATCATTTATTTCCTTCGATTATAAATATTGCAGGAGAGCTTTATATTTGTAAAATACATGTCCTTATCTTTAGTTTCTATGACAGACCAGCACACACATTGACATCGACATAGTATTTTTATCACACTTTTGTTACCTCTTTCAGTGTCAATTGTATTAACTTAAAACAGCGGCTAAAGAGTATTTTATAATATTACCTCATGTTTGGATAAAAGATAGAGATTAGTAGTTGTACATGATACTAATTATTTTACACAACAATGTTGTACATGTAAGAGAAGTGATTAAAATGAAACAATACTTTCATTCTTTCATGAACAACTTTTGTTATTTTCTGGTGTCTCTTACTTGATACATTGCATATAGGCCACTGAAACACTAATAACAATAGAAGCTTAAGTTCAAGATAGATATCATTTTTGTAGAAGATTGTTAGCAATAAGAATCTCAGAGTCGTATCTATGTTATAATTTTTCGATTAGTATAATTTTCTTTTACAGATAAGTGATCCACGAAAACGTGCTGCTATCGTTGATAGTGATAATGGGTGTACATTAAATTTAAACTATTATGTTAATGATTCTGTTCTATATTAGCAATTAAGAATTCAACAGTTGTGAAAATTATTGACAATAATATTATTAAATTTAATACATTTGAGAATAAAATACGAATGTATGTTTAAGACGTAATAGTTAATGAATGAAAACTAACTGAAATATATTAATGAAGAGCACAAAAATATCAAGTATCTACTAAGTCAACAATTTATGCCTAATCTTGTCAGCTTTATTTTATTACAAGAAACAAAATCATCTATAGATTCGTCGATTAATTATTCTTAAAACAAATCTTATCCAACTAGCTTATCCAAATCTAGTTGAAACTATAAGAGATACTGATATTTTGCTATTTATTTTAGCACATCAATTTGTTGAACGAACATGTATTGCAATCAAGTTCTACATACAAAGCAATGATTTGGCTGTATCTTTTTCTAATGTCTGTTTCTTTTATATACATTACAAATGTCATCTATGAATGTTTGTTTACATGAAATATTTTATTATGTAGGAATAGATGCGAATATAGCCACTGAATTTGTATCTGGACTATTTTTCGGAGTAATCATTGGTTCACGTAATTATGAACACGGACAAGTGATTAAAGTTTCTCTTCAAACAGAGGACTTTCGTATCCTTATTAAATCAAATACAGCAATTATTCTGAAGTATTCCGTGCTTTAAAAATATTGTCGCAGGATTTTCAAAATGAATTAAGATATGATACTAATACAACAGTTGCTGTTATTCGTCTTGAATTAAAAGAAGTTGTTCAATTATTTGGATAGGTTTTTCTTCATCAATCATTCATTATTATAAAATATAGGAAAGTTATTTAGATTTTATTCATAGATTATCATCCAACTTTTTCTAAAGATCATGTTGTGTTGCAAATCTTGTAACTACTTGTTATCGTGGGCGTAATCATAAAGTAGATGCAGCATTTGTAAGAACGGTTAAAGATATTAAAATACGTGAAGAAGAAATGCTTAATGAAGAAAAATTATAAAGACTTAATGCAACTGCTTAAGTTAAAGAATGGTTTGAAGATAGAGAACAGCCAAAAAAATAAGACTTCAGTTTTTTTCAAACTATTGAATGAATTTAAATGTGCTACAAATTCTTAATTTTAATAAATTTATTTAGTTTATGACAGTACATTATATACAGATACGTCAACTTGGTCCTAAAGCATGAACTGATGCTTTCAGTTATTATCGAGAATTTCAGTAAAAATAATAACTAGTCAATATGATTGCAGTACTAGTGCTGACGTGATAATCGATCAATATTTTCTTGGTTGTTTTGTTAGTTTATTTGATCGTTTTTAAATTAAATATTAACTGTGAAATCGAACCTTGTGTTGTTTTGTTATATGTTCTTCTTATCGTATGAGTATTCTAGCGATTATAAACAAATGATGATAGATGCTTTTAAACAAAATTATATTAGAAAAGAAAGAAGAAACATCAGAGACGTATCAAATTTCATTAATTAAACTTGAGTATGGAATATGATCAACTTATCAAAATTATTACGATATATATAAACAAAAATTTGTGTCTGGATTATTGTAAACAACAATAGCTAATCTTTTACAAACTTTTCGTCCACACCAAATCTTGTCTCGTGTTACAATAAAAACTAATGTTAACTGCATATACTATTCACATTAATAAATGATTAGTTGATAGAAACAGGAATGTGCTGACTGTGGGGCGTGCATTCTCTAACGTTGAGAAAATTTTCATTGTTTTTCAGCAAAGATGGTTTTATTACCGAAAAAAAAAAAATTATAGAGTGGAAATATACATTCTGCACTTAAAGATTTATAGTTTTAGTTTACTGCTTATTGGCTCTGTTTAGTTAGTGTACACTGATACATTTGCATCAATGCTTACTAAAGCATTGAAACACACCACAATAAAAAAGGCATATTTTAATAGAGTTGATGCTTGTCTACTGCGCCAAACGTGGATGTAATCAGTACGCTAGTAGATGCTATAGCGATGAATCACTGGCAATATTTCACTATTCACTCTAACACTGTAAATTTCGATGAACTGAGAGAGCATGCCGTCTATATCCTTTGGCACCATGGTGTGTTTTGTCATCTGCGCATCTCTAGTTGTACCAGTGGCGTAGCTAGAAACTTTTTAGCCATGGATTGTTTTCCACCTAAAGTATTTTGAAGAATGAGCAATTAAAGATCGATTGGGCTATAGTTCTTCTAATACTTATTGCCATCAAAAAAACTGATGTTTATTGAAGAGAACTTCGCTACTCTCAATTAAAAGGCTATAGTGAATGTTTCAAAAAACAATCGCTTTTTCGGAGACTCGAAAGTTCTTTTTTTACGGCACCGTTCAAGATAATAACAGGCTGTGGATGTCTCTTTCATCATGCTCACATCCACTACAAATTTGCAATAGCATTTATTTTTCATTTTTCGTCACGGTGACAAGAGCACGACAAGCTACATAAGAAAAAAAACAATATTATGCATATCAAAAAAGTAATTCTACAGTAATCAGAATTTCGTGGCTATTACCCTTATATTTATTTATAATGCTTTATTAGACTTCGTAAAACTGGTTATTAATATGCATGATATTGTTTTTTCTTATGTAGCTCGTCTTGCTCTATTCACTATGACGAGAAACGAAACATAAATGCTGTTGCAATTTTGTAGTGTGACCATATGATCGATGAAATATCGAGAAAATGGAATATCTCATTTTCCATACATCATATGCAGCTCATATTTTATCTAAGTTAGTTTGGTGGTGGGATTATTGATTGGATTCGAATATGATTAGTCTCCTCAACTTGCAGTTACACGACCTTCCATTCTTAGCGTTTTTTTACCTAAAATTTAATTTTACCTGTGACACATGTACGCTGAACTAACTAAATTAAGATGAATTCAACGGCAGTAAGAGTTTTTTAGTTTTGTAATCTTTTACTTATTTGAATCCAGTTTTGTTTTATACTTATTTGCAATCAACATGTTTATGATATTACATGATAATAAAAATGTCAAAGCCAATTTTGTACCTTAACGAACTTTAATGCATAGATGATCTTATTACCCAATACTTATTGATCATTCCATATCGTAGATTTTCTGTGATTAATGAAAATTTGATTATATTTTTATAATAGAAATATTTTTAAAAATAGATCAAGGACATCTACTTATACACTTTTACTCATAAATAATCCTTCATTTACACATGACATGACGCGTATAAAGAATTATTTTAAAAAAATGACGTTTACTTCCTTCAAAATTTCACGCTACATGTTTCCTTACGTCAGCAAAGAACAATCTAGCTTTTTTTTAAATTACTTAAAACATTTTTTTATCTGCTTTCTTAAATACATCAACGTGTTGTTTTAAGGTTAGAAGAAAAATTAGTCAAGTTTTTTTTCTTCCTGCCTATACACCAATCTCATAGTTTGTTGAAACAAGAAAAAGAAAGAGATTGAGATGGAATTACTCATTCGCAAACACTGCAGGTTGCCTTGGAGAGGCTCTCATTTTTTTTACAATTTGATGAGAGAAAAAAGAATTTGCTCTGTTTCTATTTGATTAACATTTTAGTTGTACTGTTACCCTACGACCCCGAACAAACCTTTTCGACGAAGAGAATTCGTAATATAAAATTATTCAAGAAGAATCTTTAATCATTTTATAATAATGTCGTCGAAAATGAGCAAAGAAGAAATTAAAAAAGTATGGACTATTGCTAAAATTGTTTTGAGTAATATTCTTTTTTTTTTCTAGTTATTCAAACAATTTGACAACGGTAATGGTCATTTGTCATTAGCAGAAATTGATCGAGCTATCGTTCATCACTATCCTCAACTTGCAAAAAATAAAAAAGCTATTATGCGAGCATATAAAGCAGCTGATACAAGCGGAGTAGGAGAGAATATATGATGTAGATTATGATGCTAAAGTAATTTGTTTTATTTTAGAATGGTTTTGTTGAACTAAAAGAATTTGAAAAGATTGTTGAATTTCTTCATTATTATAATAAATTAAGTCAAGCATTCGAAGAACTAGATACTAATGATGATCATCGTATTAGCTTTAGTGAATTTAAAAAAGGTTTTTCATTATTAGGTGAAGATGATTCAGATGAAGGTTATTTAAGACAAGAATTCAATAAAATCGATACTAATAAAGGTGGCTATATTTTATTTGACGAAGTAAGATAGTTTTAAAAATTTTATTTTCAAATGTAATTTTTATTGTATTTGGTAGTTCTGTGCGTATATGGCAAATAGAAAATAATAATCAAACAATTCAAGGATAACATAAAAAGACATTTGTATTTCAATGTTGTTCTTTGTTTACACAAAAAAAAATCATTTTCTCATACTGATTGTTAGTGATGAATAACTTTCTTTTTGTGTGACTACCTTCTTCTACTTTTACAAATTTACTGTTCATCGAGACAAAATTTTCTTTCTGTACTTTTCAACATGATACTTAAACAAGAAATTAGTATTTTCAAAGTCTGGCAAGATATAAACAATCACAATCTTTATTTGTATTTTATTGATTGACTGGATTTTCCTATGTTGCATTAATGTTCGGTCTATTGTATGGTTGCTATTATTGATATGCATTCAAACTCGGATACTGAACAGGGAATATATGAGTACATATCACATATATGTCGTATCGAACTTATCCTGTTTATCGAAGTTGTTGCGACAAAGTTTAATACTAAAATTATTGATCAATTGGATGACATTGTTAATTTTGATAGTAATCCTTAGTTTTTCTGCTAAGCAACAGACATTTATTTGATGAAACAATTAATAATATACAAACTACTAAGAAAAATTGACAGAGTATAAGTTAATTATAAAATTGTTATAACTTTTGCGATTGGAACTACTTCATAATTGGATTATTATAAATGGAACATTTTCAATAGTAGTATTGATAAATGAATACAAATAAAACGTGTACCACACTTACTCATAAACCTAGTATATAGTTTCACTTCACTCATAACTAACGCTAAAAACTTCAACAGCATGATGGTTTCGTCTGTACCATCTTCTGCAATGGCGAGAAAATATAGACTACTTACGAAAAAAACCGAAACATCTTTACCACATCAGCTACAACCACATTTAGTTCTGCAAAAACAACAACGGTTATTGATAGCTTATTAATACTACTATTGAAAATGTTCCATTTATTATAATCCTAATATTAGGTAGTTCCAATCGCAAAAGTTATAACAATTTTATAATTAACTTATACTCTGTCAATTTTTCTTAGTAGTTTATATATTATTAATTGTTTCATCAAATAAATGTCTGTTGCTTAGCAGAAAAACTAAGTATCACTATCAGTATTAACAATGTCATTCAAATGATCAATAATTTTAGTATTAAACTTTGTTGAAACCGCTTCGATATGACATATACAGAAATGTTTGCATGATATTTATTCATTTCTGCTTGACAAGAGAGAATCGTTATTGCGTTCAATTGAATGAACAGTGGCATCCTATTTATATCATGAATGACTTCGCATAGTAAATCAGTTAAACCCATATAATTGATATCAACAGTACATTGGTTGACTCATTAGTGCATCAAAATGTGGTTGGTTTTAGAAATTTCATACAAACGATAGGATAAAAATGCAAGACATCGACGATAGATCAATCATTATCGACTCCAGAGAATGTAGTTAAATGAAGTCAATCGGCCATAATAACATGCCCTTATTATTAATATAAATAGATTATGTTATTCATTGTTTCTTCTTCCTAATAGAATATGTTAGATTTATAAAAAGCATATGAAATTAATTTATGATTATAAATATTTTCCATCTCATTCCTTTTTAGTTTGTCTGAAATCGCATGGCATTGAATATACTTTTATTGTAGTTAGCTTTTGCATTGGTTTGTGTATCATTTTTGTACTACCTTGAAATAAAAATATATCAGTACCGAAAAGACAATAGTCTTGTTTGATAAAATCATTTTATCTTCATCAGACAAGATTCGATTCGTATGAGCTTTGCCAAAAAGTACAGATCTACTTTTTTAGGCAAGAATCTTATGCTAAAGTATTTGTCTAAAGAATTTTGGCCACACGAGTGAAAAAAACAAAAATATGAAAAGAACAACAACGAGGATATTGAACAATGTAGATCTTTAATAGAAGTCATGCGATCTGATCTAATATAGTAGATCCATAGGATAGTGTCCATTTATAGTGAAAAAGAAGTAGGAATATAAAATTTAATGGTTATGAGTATAGCCTCTAGCTTGATTATTTATTAAGTAAAATTTCAAAATCATTAACACATACAAACTTCGTCTCAACAATCAAATAGTTGTGTAATAAATACAACATTAATCACATTCAACACTTGATATATATGATATCGGAGATATACGATTGTCACGCATACTTCCTTTACAATATGTTCTCCAATATTTTTTCACGAGGATATATTTTACTTGTCGACGAAATCGTCTTGATGAGATTAAAAATAAATAGAATGAACCCTAGAAAAAATAACATTGGATTAAATAGCAAGTCAAAAATATATTGCATACGGAATAATTTAAATAGAATAAAGAATAAGCTATAGCTCCCACTAGTTGTATGATAGCTTTTTGAATAGAATCGTTTTGATCTATTTGAACTTGTATGGTATAGATACGATCAATAACATAAGGTAGGGTAATTGCTACTAAAAATGCCACACGAACAAGAATCATTGCAGTCAATTGTCTATCAAGTCTACGTCGAATGATTGGCATTTGACTTCGTACAATGCGACGAACATTAGTATAAGCTAATGTGGCGAATGTTGATGTGATCACTATTGGCAAGAATCCAGTGAGTATTAAATAATATACATATGTAATATACGTATTAAAGCCATTATTATATGATGAACAACCATATGTTGGACGGATTTCCATTAAAACCAAAAATGGAATTCCATGCAAAATCCAAACAATGATTGCACTATAAGTAAGATAATGAGCAAGGTTCAGTGTGCTCAATTGTTTTAAATATGGATTGTAACTAGTTGATAAATATTGATCAATAGCAGCAAAACAAACAATAGTAAGCGAAAGAAGTGTACAAGTAGTAGCAAATAATTGTCTCAATTTACACCAGACAAGAGATGTTTGTGTTAGATCGTTATCAAAACCATTTATTGCAATACGAGAAGTAAATGAAATAAGTAGATGAACACAGTTAACTATTGATTCAGCAGTGAGATAAAAAGCAGATTGTTTCTTTCGAAATGATTTTGAACTTGTAAAAACTAAAATATCAATAACATGACCAAAGATGCCAGCAAATAAAATTATAAAACTAACACAAATAGTATAACATTTGGAAACGTTAAGAATTTCTTGTGCTTTTAATTCCGCTGACATGGTGTGAAGTGTTTGCTCTCAACGACACCTTGAAACCTTGTATGTTTTTTCTTTTTTTTATGCTATTTCATAAATATTTATTAGTTTTGTTTACTAAGAATGATGATAGTAATATCATCTTCTGTGATCATATACATATAGAAAAAGGAACTTTGATCAGTCTTGGCATATACAATTTCTCATCAAATATTTATTAACAGATAGCTTCATTAAAATTACTTTATAAATGAATCTTATTATGAAATTCGTTTTCGACGGATTTCTTTAATGGCAAAGTACTACATTTACCGATGACCATAAAGACTGCAATTTTTCTAAATTTTTATGATGCATGAAAATTAGCACACATTTTTTTGTCAGAAAGTCGAATATTTATATGTTTATATGAGATCAAAGAAAAAGGTTCTGTTTAACTACTGATATTTCTATTGGTTGGATGGATAAGAGTTATTAATACATGACAGGGTTATATTTAATACCTCTCTTCTTGTATTTCATTGCTATAGTTGATGGGCAGCACATATAATGATATAGAGCATTGCTCGATTGTATTCCACATGAAAGAAACTTGTTCATTTATCAGTACGCATCGTTATTTCTAGTTTTTTTTCTTTTCAATATTGTGAAACATATAGGAATAATTAATTTATTTTTCAATTATCATTAATATGATACATTGTTCTACATTGTATATATGAGCGAAAAGAACGCGACAATATTACATTTCCGATCTTCTACAAAGAACTTCTTAGAGTATCATTTCTCATAATTATTCGTCCTACTTTCTGATTTTGTCCTTAGCATGTATCATGTGCTAGTCTCCTTTTACAAGAAAATTTATTCATAGAGTAATTATCACATTTTTCTGTTATGCAAACGAAATATTGCTTTGAATAATGAGCATAAATGACCTGCATGAGTGTAGTTCTTATGTTGAGTGATCAATATTCACAATTTATGTGTAAAATGAAAAGAGGTTAATGCTTCACGTAGAAAAAAGTTCTCTAGTTCTGATAGGCAGGTCACATAACAATACTATTTTGTTTCCATGCATCTTCATTTATGTTTGTCATTCAAAGAAGCATAATATAATCAACAACAGGATCACAGATTTACCATAATATCTCATTGAAAGCATGAAGATCAATATATACAGATTCAATCCAGTCTGCAGATTTAAATTCTTAATTCTCATTAATTATGTAATAGCGATGCAATAGAATTCTTCTTATTGCCCGTTGTGATCATTATAAGAATTTTAAACAAAATCTTACCTATACATGTGTATCAGGTAGTAGTTGTTTGATTCGAGTTCGAAAATAAGTAGAAATTTAAAAAAAAAATTACGTTCGAAGATATCCAAAACCGAAAATAAGTTTTATCTGCATTAAAACACTATAATTCACTTAAAGCGAAAGATCTGTGTACACGGAGACGTGCATGGATAGCGACTGTTCAGAGAGAAGGGCACGTTGTGACGTCGAAATAAAAGCTCAGTTACGCGGCTGAAGCTTTCATTTTATACCTCAACGCTCGATCTCTACATATGAATATATACTGAAGAGTGCACCGGTCGAAATGATGCTTAAACAAAAGACAGACGTATCGCTTACTAACTTATGCGTTACCTGTATTGTACTTCGAATCCTAATTGAATATTATCTCTGATCTTTTCGGTTTCACTAATGGGATAGTCTTATGTGAATTATTATTTACAATTGATATAAAATTTATTTTTGGCTTTGAATACAATGTGCTGTTGGCTCGAGTTTTTTTTTAATTTATTTTGGAGATAACACGTAGCAAACAGAAGTTCATTTTTTATATTCAAACTCGAATCCAACAACTAATGGTGTCAGACATTGTATGGTCTATATTAAAATTCAGCACACATCTCAGTATTCAAAATAATGCAAGAGAATCATATTAGTTATAATTTAAAATAAAAATTGATTTTGCAAATTTCATTTTCTAGTTTTGATCGAATTGAGGAAGAAATTTATGCATTATACAAAGATAAATTCAGATGAAAAACAAACTTAAATAACGAATCGATTTCCTTAAAAATCGTAATTATTTTATTCGTGTTTATATTAACAATGAGTATAATATTGCAAATCTTGCAACGTTTATTCTTGATTAATTACTATTACTTAGCAGTAAACAACTAATAACGATCTGAATACTAGCTTTCATTGGTATTCTCTTATTTTTATATTAATTAATATTGTCGGTGTTCCACAAAGAATATTTTCGTGTACATATCGTTGTTGTATTTCTTTAGTAGTTTAATTTATTGCCTAAACTTCTCTGTTCGATATGCGAATTACATGTGCAGCTATCATTTCATCACATAATACCTGACAAGTTTTATCACAATCATACATGCTCTATACTTTCTGCATACAATGGGCTATTTAATTTCAGTCTGAATTTATCAACTAAAAATAATACTTGATTTCAAACTGAAACGTGAGTCTAGGAGTGAGGGGGGGCGGTGACTGAGGGTGTGGGCGCGTGAGTGAGGTGAGGCTGTGCTTGTGGTTTTGTGTACTATAGGCTTTAGTCCCCTGAAAAGGGACTAAGGGGGGACTAAGCTTTTTGTGGGGGGGACTAAGGGGGACTTTGCAGGACTAGGGAGGACTAAGGGTTTTTAGTGAGACTACGTAGTATCAAGCGAGAAAAGTTTGATTTGGAAGAAATTGGTGTGGTTTTTTTGATTTTAGAATTCAGTTTGAAATAAAAAAGCCCATAGACTCACTTTCTGTCAGTTGAATTAATCATATTCAAGTATTGCATTAACATCCTTGAGAAGACATCATCTATAATGAGGTTATTTCGTTCATTTCTTGTATTTTTCAACGGAAACAAATATTTTGGATGCGAAGAAAATAATGTTCAGAGATTTTGTAATTACTACTATGTATTCAATGTTTTATATTATATAGACTTAACATTATTAACATCAAATTTGTTATTTTCGTCTTCGATTACTTCCATGTCAATTGCTTACATGATGTTGATGAAATGAGTTTATTAATGGGATAAATATATTGCGGATTGCAACTTCATCGCAGTGGTGTCTTATTGTAGTAGTTTCAGCGAAGAGTGTATGTTTATCCTTATTACTTATATCAGCACTAGTGGAAGTGGTATATGATTTTTCATAAATAAGATTTGGATCAATGCTGGTATATTTTAATGTATCATGTTACCTGGTTTTCATTTAAAATGTTACCACTTGTCCGATTGATACACTTATTGCGATGGTATGAACAAGTACAGAGGAGATAACGATCAGTAAAAGAGATTTTAAAACGCTTATTGCAGCGGCATGGTGTTATTGTGTTTGATTATCAGATTATGTTGTATTTACTTTTTGCTACTGTAAATATTTTTGCCAATACTATTGTGCAGCCTTGAAGCCATTCTTTTCTGACGTTTTTAAGTATTGAATGTAATAATAGCCAGTTTTCGTTATAATGTATATGTTGAGAAGATATAAATTTGATATTGTCTTAGATATTAGATAATATTATTTAATTCAACATTAAATCGATGACTGAAGAGAGTAGATAAAACTATACACTGGCGAAAGAAGAACTCATCTTAAATAAAAACGAAGAAAATATAAAATATGTTCGAATGCGAATATTTAACACCAAGGAACTAGTTTATTGTATAACTAACATGACGAATATCAAAACAGGATAGAATGTTTTCCTTTACACGAATTGTTCTTCTAAAGAAATATTATCAAGATGAATTAAGTCAATTAAAAATATGTTTATTAATGGAATTATTTGACAAGTACTGCAAGTTTTCTTCCTTTTATAGACATAATCACAGAGAATTTCAAATCCAAAATATGATTTTTTGACATCTGTTTGTTGTTTCTGTTTGTATCGAATATTGGTTCCTGTAAATATGTATTCTGGCAGACATAAGTTAAGGATGATGCTAAAAATTTTATCTTAGAGTGATTCTTATGTATGAAAAATAGCACTTTGTTAAAGACGATATGGAATCATGTACGATAAATCTTGTAATCTTTTATATAATTAAGAAGAACTGAATGTAAGTTAGTCTAGATAATGAAGTCTCGAGCACTTTATTCGATTGTTGTTGAGTAGATTCAAAAAATATTGTCACTTATCACTCACAAAATTGCATGTTTGAAGTTACTTTTCTAATATACACGGTTATTAATTAATAAAGTTTATTTACATATTAATCCTATCATTAATTCTGATGAGATTCTTTTCTTATATGAGTTTCACTTATATTTAAGTAGAAAAAATTGATTGAACACTATCTCTTCTTTGCGATGAACATAATCAAAGAAACTGCAACGATTTTGTCATATTAGAATGGATTGTCGGGTTTTAAACAGTAATACAAATACCCTCATATATGTGTTTACATTCAAACGTGCATAGAGTGATTAAGCGAAAAACAACAGTGGAAAGAGAAAACTAATACAAGAATGAAGATAGAGAAAGCAAGAGAAAGAGATAGACGCGTGCGTGTAATTTTATCCTCAACGACGTATGTCGGTATTCTATTCTCTCTTCTGACAAAACAAAGAATACATAGAGTAAAATTTTTCGTTAGGAATAGACGTTAGTCTTCGTCTATATATAATATAAATCAACTAAATGACTTCACATCAGTACGTTAAATTATTTATTAATTTGAATGATTTTGATAAGTCAATTATTTAGCATGGACTCATTTCTTCATTGTTTGCCCAAAGTCGAACTTCATGTCCATATTGAAGGAACTATGGAACCTGATCTTATGTTTAAATTGGCAAAACGAAATAATATAGGTGTACCATTCAAAAATGTTGATGCACTCCAACAAACATATGCAAATTTTATTGATTTAAAATCATTTCTAAATGTTTTAGAAGAAGAAGTGCGTGTTCTCGTCACCAGTGAAGATTTTTATGATTTAGCTTGGGCATATTTTCAACGTGTTGCTAGTGAAAATGTTCGTCATTGTGAAATATTTGTCAATGTCCAAGCTCATTTAAGTCGCGATGTGACAGTTAAATGTCAATTCGATGGTTTAATACGTGCTTGTCAAAGAGCAAAAAATGAATTTAATATTACAACAGGTCTGATCATTAGTTTTATGCGTGATCAAAATGAACAATCAGCACTTGAAATTCTTGACAAAGCTTTAGAATATCGTGATTATTTTGTTGGCATCGGTCTAGAATCAAATGAAATCAATAATCCACCGTCAAAATTTATTCAATTGTATAAGAAAGCTCATGAACTCGGTTTACATTGTGTAGCACATGCGGCTGAAGAAGGTCCTTCATCATATGCTAAAGAAGCCATTGAATTACTTAAAGTTGAACGTATTGATCATGGTATTCATTGTGCTGATGATCCATCATTGTTACAGCAAATTGCACAATGTAAAATTCCTCTAACAATATGTCCTCTTTCCAATCTTAAACTTAACATTGTAAAAAGAATAGAGGATATACCATTAAAACTTTTTCTTGACAATGATGTTAAAGTCACTATTAATTCTGATGATCCTGCCTATTTCGGTGGTTATATTCAGGCAAATTTTAATGCTATACAAGAAGCTTTTCAATTATCAATTAAAGATTGGATTCAATTGACTCAAAATGCTATTAATGCTGCTTTTATTACTAATGAAAGACGTCAAGAATTATTAAAAGAATTGGAAAATGTATTAAAAAGTCATAAATAAAATAAATTTCAATTTTTTGTTGTTTTCATCTGTAGAAAAATGATAAGTTTGGAGAAAATAATACAATGAAAGATAGTAATGAAGTTGATGTAGAGATTAAAGATTAACTCAAGAATTAATTGAACAACATATTCGTGAGTTGTTAATCAATACTAATCTTTTAAGATTTTCATATGAATATTGATTTATTTATCCTACTGATCAAAACTCACTAGATCATTTTATTTAACTATTACAATTAGGTTTTGTATTAATCATTCATCAAGTAGTAGTGAATGAACGATCTTTTCTTATATTACTCTTGTGTTCGACGTCGTTGAAATTATCCAACTGTATTCAATTTAGTTTGAGTTCATAAAATAAAATCAATAGGAATTATAGCATAAATTTTAAAAAACACATATTAACAAAATGTCTTTTGTAATATCTTTTTTTAACGGCCTGATGTGGACCAGTTCAGTACTGTGCTGACAAAACAAAGTAACTTCTGAAATGTCTTGATGATCTTTGATTACTAAAACAAGTATTTTTTGACTTCTTTTTTAATGTAAAAAACATCTTATAAAGCTTAAAGCTAAGAGTATTATCATTCAATATTAGATTAAGATTTCTCTTGATTTCAAAACATAAACAAAATAATCCCGTCGTCTTTTTTAACATATTTTTAGTAAGGGTTTTTAAACATTTGTACTTAAACAAGAATGAAATTGGTGATTTTCGATTAATATAATTGAAAACTTTGACTAACTTATTTCGAAATAGATATATTATATGGTTTGTTCATTGGTATATTCGTCAAATGAATAAATAATAAAAAAGCTTTATTATTGAAAGTATCGTACAGGTCAAATGAGAAATAAGACAAAAATAGACTATGCAAATTTTGTGTTGCATGGAAAAAATCTGATATATTTTATTCTAACTCATGACTTTCAATTGGTTCTGGAGCAATTTGATTGTTATTTCGTGATTTAAAACATTTTTGTCCGAAGTACTTCATAAGAACATATATATATTTGACTTGACGACGAAATCGTGGTGATACCATCAAGAATACATAAAAAGTACACTAAAATAACAATAATTAAAAACGAAGATTATAAAAGATTACATACTGAAGAATTGATATAGAATAAAGAGTATGCAATATTTGATATTAATTGATCGATAGCTATTCGAATAGAATCATTTGGATTTACAGTCTTATTTAATATGTAAATCCGAAAAATAGTAGAAGGAAGAATAGTTACAACTAAAACAACCACTTTAGCTAAGACCATAGCAGTAAGTTGTTTGTCACGTTGTCGTCGAATAACTAGCATACGTAACTGTACAAGTCGACGAACGTTCAAATAGGCAAGTAAACTGAATAATGATGCTATAGAACTGGGTAATACACCATTGAGAATAATAAAATGAAAAAAAGAATAATAAAGCGAGAATCCTACATTATCTATCATACATCCGAATGTTGGTCGAATCCCGAAAAAAATCAGAAATATACTGTCATAGAGAATCCAAATAATTAAAGCCCCGTAGACAAGACGATGAGCCAATTTTAAGGTACTCAGTTGTCTCAACCAAGCATGATAATTAGTTGATAAATATTGATCGATAGCAGCAAAACATATCGATGAAAATGACATAAGTGCTAACGTATGACTAATCATTGGTCGAAATTTACACCAGAACACTGATAATCGTGTTGTATCAATATCGAAAGCTAATTCGCTAATGCGAAATGGTAATACAACAAGCAATAAACAACAATCACTGATTGATTCAGTAATGAGATAAAAAGCACATTGACTTTGTCGAAATGATTTCGAGCCAGTGAGAACCACAATGTTACAAATATTTCCAATACAACCAGTGATTGAAATAAAAAAATAACCATATATTGCAAATTCTTTAGAAGCAAATAAAATTGTTGATACTACGGATGACGATGACATTTTTCATGCGTGTTATGGATGTAAACAGATTTTAACTCAAAGAAGACGGAATGAAAAAAATCTAGTATAAAAATAAAGAAAACGAGAAATTATTGTCCTACTTGTCGGAAAAATATTTTCAAAAAAAACTTTGTTTAACACTTGAACGTATCTGTCTAAATAAATTTGCATCTCTAAATTAAGCTTTTCCTCTAATCAATTATATGACAAGAATTCTTTTGACGCAATAAGTTTCTGTTAGCTACGGAAATATTTAAATCATTTCTTCCATAGAATTCATGTTAATGAAAACATGCGTTGAGTAACAGTGTCAATGTGTGTCAGATTATAAGAGAGAAACATATAGCTATCTGAAAATTACTATTTAAAATATCAGTCGAGACGCTTCTTAGGGTAGTCATTTTGAAACCTTTTATTTTTCATGCAAAAGTCTCTGAAATTATATTACTTTTCATAGATCAAGCTGTACAATTAATTTTACAACATTTTAACACTATTCATCAATAAGTTTTGACTAATTGCTATATCATAAGATACTTCAAAATGATTTTCACTCCGAATAATCTGTTATGCCAATACGAACTATAAACCGCGTAAAACTATTTTCATAAACGTATTTGATGTCTACAATCATCTTGAGTAATATACAATAATTTTATCTATAACTAATATTATAAATTCTGCAAAATTTGCACTATTCTCTTAGATTCTCTGAATAGATTTATTTCAATATAGTTGGTCACTTCAAATAATCGAAATTAAACTAAAAATCTAATTGCTTTACTCTTTAATAAATTAATTTGGAAAGATCTGTTTTCATGTTTTGAAACTAATACTCATCATATATTCTAACTGCTTCGGATAGGCATATCTTAACACGTAAAAAAAACGTTTGGATAGAATAAAATTTCTTTTCTGTATCGCTTTGCTCATGATATAAACTAGCATGAGGTTAACAAAGCTTGATGTAACTTTATTCTATTGAAACATGAGATTTTGCCTTAAACTTTACTAAGTCTACTGGTATAAATAAGAAAAATATTCAAGAATAAAAAAAAATTATAAAATGCAACTTAGGGCTTAACACGAAAATTTAATCTATAATCTTGATACTAACGAGAAAAAAAATGGAAAAAAAATGGAAAAAAAAGCTCATTTTTCTGACAAAAGTTATTTTGAATTGAATGAAATTATAATTCCATCAAGAGTCAAAGCCAAAAAAGTGGATGAACATTCTACATACACAAAAGGATACTTAGAAATACGTCAAAAGAATTTTTTCATTAGTTGTCATCAAACTAAAGTATAACTAAGTAATAATGCTTGAGTTTTTCGCATCTATTTATAAATCTTCATTCATTCACACAACAAAACTGACAACTTAAACGCTCATTTTTTTTTAAATACGCAGTAAAGATGAAATTTCGATTGACGTATTTTGTTTTAAAGAAAACAAATTATGGCTCATTATACATCCCTTAATCAATGTTTTTGCCAATACTCTTTCTATATTCTTGTTGTTGTTATTGTTGAAAATCAATGGAGATTCTTTCCTTAATACAACGAATCTTGACTTTCTAACAAGATTCATGTAGAACTAGAGAAGATTATTATGTTTTTAAAATCTTTCTTGATTCTTTTTTTCCTTTATCTGACATGTTTGCTAAAGAAAACGCTAATTGAAAAAAAAAATATTTCATTTACATTAAAATGTACTCCTAATAATAATAATTATTCTTCTTCGTCGTATTTATCATCTGGAATCGTTAATGGTTGATCTGTCGCTAACGAGAAAATGTTTCTGAGTGGAGAAACACAAGTTTTACAGTACTCACTTTCACCGTTAACAAAACTAGACTATTGACAATGGTTGAAAGTTCCGTCTTAATGAGGACGACAGTCCAATAAAAACCATATTTAAGTCAACGGCCACAAATCTGGATTAAGTCGTTAAGCTCTTAATTAATCATGTTTACAAAATCGATTTTTTGGCAACTTGTCTTAAACTGGGAAATTTTCGACAATGAATCATTAACGTTTTGTTAGACAGGTATACTAGTTAGGAAACGAATCACTTTAAGTGTGAACTGTAACCATTCTAAGTTATGCCTTATGTAAATATTACGTTGGGTGTACCATTTGAAAAGCAGACAACATGGAAAGTAAGAGGCATAAAACCCAATGAGTATGATATTCCCAATCGTATAGGTGTTGACTTTTACTAAAAAATAAAATCCTCACTATTTGATCCATATGTTTGAACTAGTATTAATGTATGGAATAACAATTAATTCAATGTTTCTAATGACAGATGTATACAGCGCAAGCAAATTGTATAGAACATGTACTACTTCTATAATACAAGCTACTCTACACTTTGCTTAAAAAGTAGTGTACGAAATATACTGCAAAAGATATCAAAACGGTTCTTCTAATCTATTAACAACTATTTTCAAGTTCAAAAATATTTTTAAACAATGTGTATAGATCATGATGTATCCAATAAAAATTGTATCTATTTTTATTCAAATTACATGAAAATTACGTTATTTTTCATTTCTTAACATTCTATAAAACTTCATTTCTTTACATTTCGTTAAATTCAGTCTATAAAAACAAGTTATACATGGACACTTCGCCCATATAAATAGTATGTAGAAAAAATATTTTGTTTTAGTTTCTATTAGAAACATTGAACTAATCTCCGATTATCGATGACTATCGTGGACATAGATATCTTTTTATTATCAAGTTGCTGATTAAGTGTCCGACATCGTAAGCACTTCTGAATACATAGTTCTCGAACAAAATCACAAAAGTCAAAAAATTCTTATCCTTAGATTTTTGGCAATGGCAAACTATATATTGCCGAAAGTTTAGTAATTAATGCATGAAATGCCCAGAGTACAATGACAGTCTATTTAGTTAAAATATAATGTTAATAGCTCATTAAAAAACTTTCGGCAACAACTGCTAAAAGTCATGTTATGCATTGATATTTTATTTAGAATGAAAATGAACTTTTAAAAGATTCATTTTAGTTAAGGTTAACATTTTAATATACGACATAACTTTTGGCAATTGTCGAAAGTCAACAATACAGAATTCATGCTATTATCTACGTATCAAATCATTTTTTTGAGTCGGGAATACATGCATCATGAAGGTTCTAATGACATATAAATACCCTGAACATAGTTCAGATTAATACCTTATTGCTATCAAGATAGTGTACGGTTGCAGTATTTTTTAACAAAATGTCATGGTCCTCCTCAAGAACACTATGAAAACCTGAGTTTCAGATTTCGGCTTGAAAATTGGCACACAAACAGATCTTAAAGAGAATAACTTATTGTAAAATTTTGAGATTCTTCTAGTGCACTTATGCTGAAATAAGAACGTCGGATTATGCCGTTGTATAGTTATGAGTGACTTGAGAAAATATGCGTTGACCATAGTCGCATCTTAAGATAGAAGCAATCAAAATATCTGAAACTTTTACAATAAACTATTTTCATTAAGATCTATCTCTATACCAAGTTTCAAGTTGAAATTCGAAACTCTGTTCCCTGATGTTCCTAAGTGGACTATGACATTCTGCTAAAAAAAACTAGTATCTTGACAGTAATATGCTATTAACCTGAACTCTTTTCAAGATATTCGTAACTCTTCAGAGCCTATATGATACATACAGTTCCGACTCATCAGTGATTTGATATTAAGCAACTTTTCCTCTTGAATCGTCATTTTGTTAGCGCTGTTTTTCAAACTATAAAAGCAATCACAATTTGAATGTAACTCATATGTTGTTTGAAAAGAATATATTTTGCTTGTTTAATTGACCACAATAACATGAACTGTGGTTGTTGCGTAAAAATGAATAAATAGTGAATAGATATTGGTATATATAGATGATCAGACAAGACTCTTTTTTTTTCTTTTTTGTCACAATGCACCATTCTATATTCTGTATCTCTTAGCTTGTCAGATTGTTTTTGCTAAAAAGCCTAACAAGATTCATGTATGATTTACAAGGTTTCAGAGGCAGACAAGAATCCGACTGACAGACTCTTAGTTGTTGGAACAAGAAATTTCTAATCCAGAAAATGAAGACTGATTCTTTTTCATCCCATATAACAGGACCATTTCTTGCATAACTCAACAAGATTCTTGCATTTTATTCTCTTAATTACTATGAATCTATGATAGCTTCGTATTCACTAGGATTACAAGCATTAAAAAAATGAACAGAATCATAATACAACAAAAAATTTAGAGTTACAATAAGAGTAATAAGAAAACAAGAAGCAGAAGTTCACAGAGATTTCGATGAAATTTTCATTGAGTAGATCATTAACAAGCTTAAAGGAAAACACATTTGTTTATTTGTATAGGATGTTAACTTTAAATATTCATTGAAGACATGAAGAAAGAAGCATGTCTAAGCAATTTATTTGGACATATAAGAAACAAATGATGATCATGTAGCTATATATATATCTTTCAACTGTGACAGAGGTATTTTTTATCGTTCTATTAATCGATATAAAGACTCGCGACTGACCTTCAAGACGAAAAAAAGAATCATATCTGATTTATAAAGTAAAAAAGAGAGTCGAGACAAGAATATATATTGTAAATAGTTGTTGTCAATTGAATTTTCTCGTTATTGAAAAATTATACGTATGTTATCAATATTCATGTATCACTGAGCTTAATAATTTATTCACAAAATTCGAGTTGATTAGTGCTGTTTTTTATTAGATAATTGTATCAATAGTCTTTTTCAATAATTAAAAAATCATAAATTTGTATTATAGTTCTTTTTTCATATCTTGCATATGAACTATTAAAAGTAAAGATTTAATCAAAATCAATACACAATTATTCAATATTGAAAATAATTGTTTTACAATTAACCGTTTCAGAAACGGTTAATTTTTCTTTTGTGAGTGTTTAAAAGATATTTTATTCTCTCAAAATTAAATAATTAGACTTGA